TACACATCCAGATCTAGCCGTGACCGTAAATGTGCATACACATGCACGCACACATATCAAACACACACATATACTCGCCTTTAATTTGTGTTACAAACAACATGTTGCAGTTTCTTTTGGACCATAATTTTGATAATACTGCTAAAGCTTTAATTCAAGAAGCTTCAAAAATGGGTTTTCAAAACTTGAAATCCAAATTGGGAACTATAACAGATCCTTATGTTCAACTAATACTGTGTTACAATAGCGGAGATTATTCCACATTTTTCCAAGTAAAAAGTTGCTTATGTTAACAATACTGATGTCATATTCATAATTGTATTGTACTATACTTTTTTTAGTTGTGGAATGATTTGTTCTTTACTGACAATATTAAACAATGTGAAGAATACAAAAAATTAACATTTTACTTACATGTACATTTTGCTGTACTGCCTAAACGTAAATTATATGCCGATCGATGTAAAGTAGATGGTAAAAGAATAATTATTAATACATATATTTTAGGTATATGTACTTTTGTATGTCTATACGTTTTATATAACATTTTTTATTTTTGTTATAAATTAGATCTGACATCAGAAATAAATATACTAAGATTACCTTCAATAGAAAGAGATCCTGTTTTAGAAAAAGACAAGGAGGTAATTTTGATTTTTCTTTAATTAATTAATTATTTAACAAAAATTATATATTTTCGATGTATGTATTAGTTCTTTTTTTCAAATATATCTTTTTATATTATAATATTATATTATTATATAATATTATGGATATAATATTATTATATTACATTTAAAGCATTTATTATAACATTTATATTTAATGTGATAATTTATACTATATGTAAAATGCTTTAATAATTAGTCTAGAAATATTATTAACAATAAACAGAACAATGCCACTGAAATCGAAAAAAATATAAACGACAGCATGAAGCAGTTGCAAGATTATTTGGGTGGGGATGGCAAGGAATTAGAACATGATATAGAATTACAGCCGTTTTATGTACTTCCATTTACAAAAGATCTTCACATAAATACTTTTTTTTCCAAAGTGTTAGAGCAACATTGGTCGGATGAGCTATCAAAGAATTTAGATTTTTTTATTATTCGTCACAGACAAGTAAGCTAACTAGATATAATATTTGATCTTCACATGCTTATATCCGAAAAATATTATAATAAATTGTAAAAACTAAAAAATTTATAGGATTTAATCAATTCAGATAATTTAAACTTTAAAAAAGAGCAAAATCAAATACAAGATTGCAAAATCACACCAACAACAAAAACAATAACTGTGGATTCAGATGTTGCACAAAATAAAACTATAAAAAATAATATACCGATTGTGCCAAACGATAGGGATATACCTATGTTTCTAGAGGACCATGATGACGAAGAACAATATAATTTTTCTAACAAAACAAATCAAAGATCCAAGTAAGAGACTTTTCCTCCGATATTTTATTCAAGAGATTAGATGTGATTCGTATATTATTCTTTATAGGAGTACACAAACACATATTACTGGAAATCAAATTACACTTAATAATTCGCGAGGAGATATATTGACTCCGGAAGAGAATGCTAACAGTTTGTTGAAAATGCACAAGTCAGATAAAAAATTGATTCAATATAATTGGGAGTTAGCATTAGCCAAGTCTCATTTATGCGATATTCATACAAATTATGAAAAATTAAAAGTGAGATTTCACAAGTTACATACGGATTATCATAAACTGATAGATGTCGCAGGGGAATTAACGGTGGCTTTGGAAAATTCGGTGAAAGGGAAAGATGTTGACATACAACGAACACTTGAAGTGTGCATGAAGATATTTCCAGATTTATTTAATCAAAATATAAGAGAGACTCCCTATGTAAGTAAGAAAAAGAGAGAGAAAAAAATAAGATTATGACATGTCCTTTATCAAATCCAATTTAATAATAATCAATATAATATTGAATAATATTGAAAATTATTTATTTTGAGTATTAAAAGCACTGAACAACAATGTTTTTAATATTCAAAATAAGCAGTCACCATATTAAATTTTTATAAAGAATTTTATAAATTTTTCATTTTTAATATTTGATCACATTGTCGATAGCCATCCTTATTACAACTCGATCGTATCGATGTAAAAGCAATCACACTGCCTAAACCTGACGTCACAACAGAGCCGATATCTCCCAAATTATTGGATTACAAAAAGATCAAATTGCATTTAATTAATGGAGATGTGAAGACGAAGCTGTTATTGTTACAAGCATTGCGTTGGGTATTGAAATGATTGTTATAAGAAGATTAATTAGAATCAATATTTTTATATCAATTATCATCCCAAAACAACATTTATATTTTTAGAAAATAACGCTCGTGCAATCGACAGAACAGGATGAGGTATTGCACGAATATGTAAGTCGCGATTTATTAGGGCTTCACGGACAAATTGCAACCGACAGTGGCAAGTCAATTCTACCGTGTCTGCTGATTGCAGGAGAAGCTTATGCCAGGCATCTTTTGCAACAATTCACTGCACGACTGCTAAACACCCTGGCATCTTTTAGATGCGGAAGAGATTATCTGTCGGTCGGATCTGCTGTCGTAAACGTGGTATGTCTTTTTATAAATGAACTAATCCCTAGAGAAGATTTAAAAAAAAACTTAAAACTTACTTTAGGGAAAAACTAGAAAACTTGAAAATTAGATAAATATGAAAAATAAATTTGGATACTTAAAAATTTTTATTTAAATAAAATTTAAAAATTAAAATTTTACCTAATTATGTAAAATATCGAAATTAAAAAAGATTATGAATTTATTTAACGAAAAAATTGTTGGTGACGAGCATAAAATAGGATGACGACTTGTTAATAAAAATTACGATTCGCAATATTTCAGACTTTTGCTTGTCTCGATAACAATTACGCTGACGGAGTGGATCCTTTCGCATGTGACATGATGGTAGCGATGTTACAAAAACTATCTTTACGTAGACAACAACGAATATACATGATAGAGAATGGATTGTTGGAATGGTTGATCAATCATCTATACAATAAATGTCGCGTTATAAGTTTATACAGACTCGAATACGCTACCGCACTTTTAATGAATCTGTCGTTGCATCGGTTAGCGCAAGCGAGAGCGTCCAAAATATCTTCGTTACTCGTTTCTACTTTACTCATCCTTCTCTCAATAAATCATACATCCGTGAGTTAAGTCATTTAATAAAAATATTTGCAAATATGGATTTTATATAGAACGCATTTAATGCAAAAGGTATCTTTATGTAAAATTTTCATGTCGTTTACTAGTCACTATCGTATATCAATGGAGCATTGAATAATTTTTTAAACAATCCTATAATCAATGAAGAAGCAAGAAAAATTAAGCATTCGAACATATCGGAATATCTTGGTAATAATCAAAAAACTGTGGAAATAAGGTACTTGTTCGCACAAAATATGAAGGTTCTAATAACAAGGACATCAATTTTTGCTATAGAAGAATAGGAAATAATCACATTAAAATATATGCCATATATTTGTAGTTGATTTATTTTGTTATCTAAATAACAAATTTTTGCCTTGATATTTAGAACGTTCATATTTGTAAACGCAATTAAGAGATAATCAAGCTTTTTCCATTTCTTAAATGATAATTTCGCTACGATAGAAAACACCTAGATCATGTATTGAGAATACAAAGAACACATGAAAATATTAACACACCGCAAAATGAAGAGACGGGGGATGATGATAATGTAAGTACAATGTGAATAAAAATATTGCCTAAATACCAAATGAATTTGGGCATCGAAACGTTTCCATAGGAAGACTTGGATGTATTGGAAAGTGAATTAGATGAAAATGATCCATTGCAAAATTACATCGGTGAATTGAACGGAGAAACGTTGCTTGCAATGTGTTACAGCATTTCTTCCAAGGTTCCTCAAAACGCTGTAAACACGGATACGATTCTACAGCAAATATCCACATTGAATCCTATCAATTTTTATGATAATCAACATAATAATCACGTCTGCAATAAACATCCCTCATATCCTATGTTAAGGTACTTATATATATATAATATATATTCTAAAATTATCATCTCTTTTCATACATCACGCAAAATGATGAAAATGATCCCGATTTATATTATTGATACATATATATCCTTATATAACAATTATATATAATTATTAATTAATTTAATTACAAAATAATAATAATATAATAGAGTGATATATTACGATAGGTATAATATCAAATTGAAAAATAAAATATTATCAAAAGAGAGTTATACAACAACACAATTATTGAAACAAACAATTTCTGTTGAACGTGTGTCAGATTTATCAGATTTTTCTTTGAAGGTACAATATCTAAAGTAATTTTACAGTGCAATGTCACTTAATTTCTTTTTTATGTAATATATCGATATTTTATATATATTTTTAAGGAACCACAAATTTTTACAAACGGCATGAAGAAATCATCATCTGTAGATAAAGTTCAAAGTAATACAAAAAGTTTTGCTGAATCCTCCTTAATTATGAGATATAAAAACCGCCCATACGAAAAGCAAGTCAAAAATATAATTGTATTACAAAATAAAGACTGGCCATCAAGCGCGATTAGAAAAATCAATAATAATCAATATGAATTTAATTATAATCAATTTAGAACAAAAGTAAATTCAAAGCTTAGAATAAATAATAATATACAAGACCAATTAAAATTACGCAGATCGGAGAATAGGACTGACACAGGAAAATTGTATGACGTGAAATTAAAAAAAATAGGATTAGAAAAATTTCCCTTAGAAACAGTAACATCTATTAAACGAAATTTCTCTGACAGAACAATTCCCAGTGATACAATTTATTTATATGAAAATCGAACTTCCAAGTGCGTTATTAATTAATTGGAATGAATTGACCAAAAATGATTTTATATTAAATGTTTATATAATACAATTATTAATCTGTCTTAATTTTTAATTTAATTTGCAATTAATCTTGTAATTACCTTTTCATTTTTTTAATTTTTTATCTTTTTATTTTATTATTAATAGATATCGATTTACAGGGATAGTAGTGAAACTACAGTGATGTCTCTTACGTCTCTTAGTCGTGAAAATGGCCAAGCAGGTATTGTACTTCACACTTTTAATTATTACTTTTGAATAATAGCATTAGTATGAAATTTCCATCATTGTTTTGAGTACTAACTTAAAAATGACGAACTTGGCACATTAAGAGAATAATTTACAAGCGACATTCAGTGAAAGCTTTACAACTTTCCCTACACGTACAGAATCCTGGGAAAATTGGAGCACGCGAAATGAAAGTGATGAAAACTCAGATAAATGTTAACCAGTTTTGATGACACATTTCAAAATTGTTACAAATTGTTATTTAAAAAATATCATTTGAAATGATAATCTAGAATAGCTGTTATTTATTACGAATTAACATACTATTCACATTTTTTATTTTTTATGTTGTTTGAAAATAATTGAGAATAAAATACAAGCAATTCCTCATCACATATCAATAATTTCAGTAAAATTTATCTAATTAAATCTGATTTTTACAGAAGTGGAGAAATTCAGTAGCATAGCATCGTTGTGAGTACTTTTGCAATATGCTAATGCAATGATTGCAATTGCAGAGCACTTTTTGCAGTTTTTGAATATTTATTTATATTTTTGAAGCACATGCTTTATATTATTTCTATGTATATACAATAATATTGCTATTTATATTATGTCATTTATATTGCATATGTACTTTTATATTGAATAAATTTTATATTTATTGCTTATTAATAATGCTTCTGCCTAACTATTATAAATCTATTTAGTAACAGCATTGTTTATAGGAATAGTAATAAATATAATAGCAATACAATTAACGATGCTTCATGGAAAAATGATCCGAAACTTATTAAAGAAGAAGAAGAGGCATTCTTGGCTAAGCCTAAATTGTCAAGGACACCTCCGTGAACATTGTATCGAAAATTCTAAATATTAAAATATGAATTTAATTATATAGAAGTTGTGGAATTTTAGATGCATGTATATATAATAACTAAAATATTTTCATTATACAATATCAATTCTTACTTGTCATAATAATAACATACACGTGTAACTCTCAACTGATATTTAAAAAATAAATATAGATAAATATAATAATTTTTAAATGGATATTCTTTTGTTTTAAGTTACCAATTAATAATATTAAAAAATTATATATTATATAAAAATCTGATATCTATAACATTTATTTATTTTTTATATTAATCAATGATCTTGGCTCTATATTTTTGATAAAATAAAACGTATCAAGAATATCTCCATATTAACGCGATATGATACTTTTTAAAATATTGAAGAGATCGAAAGGGAAAGAATATAAATGTTCACTTGAATATTTATAAAAGATTGCACAATATTTTTATTCCGAATAACGCATCTCTTAAAATATTCATAAAATAAATACTTGTATATATACAAATCGCAAGCATACATCCTACATTTTCTATATTTATATTTTAAATCGAAAGGATTTTACATCATTAAGGATAAATAGACTTTTGCACAAATATAGGGCCGCTGGTCCTGTATCGCCTGGGTACGGGAGGACCACCATCATAACTGCTACTGCCGCTGTACCCATCGAAATTCGGCGAAGTGGAGTAACCATTGACAAAACCGCCGTTCTTACTCCTGTAACCGCCAACGAAAGGTGGTTCATCGGGATAAACGCGACCGGTGTAACTCGGGCTATTGTCCTTAATTCCGAAGACCTTCCCGCTACCTTTGCCGTAAGGCATGTAATAATCGCGTTCCCTCGGCGAGTAAGCTACACCGTTATTCGGAGCGTAACGAGACAAGTATTTGTGGCTGTATTTACTCGGTTTTCCCGAGAAGTAGATGCTTCCGTGGGCCTTGGAGAAATGACCGCCCGGCCCGGGACCTCCTGACAAGTACGATGATAAGTCGCGATTGTGGCTCACATGTCCGACGTTTCCCCGTGTGTAACGTGTATCAAATGGAGGCGAGTAGACACCGCTATACTTGCTGCCGCCTTTCAAGTCCAACGGGTCATTCTTCTGCTTTCCAAACGAGTACTCGTTGGTCAGACGACCGCCTGACGAATAAGGTGCGTAGAGCTCATCTTGGGAATAGCTTGAGGCACCAGAGGAACCGTGATGTCCCTGTACATCGCTGTTAGCGGAACCTTCGGGATAATTGTCCAATAGCCGGGTTGGTCTGGGATACGTAGGATAAGCTGGTATCCTTTTACTACTACTGCTGCTGCTGCTGCTGCTGCTGCTAGCCGCGTACTGCCCAAAATCGGAGTCTTTGTGGGCCGAATCGCTTGAATACACGTTGAAGGTTGGTTCTCTGTTACTGTTAACGCCGGTATATCCTCTGAGTGGTACAGATGTGGCACGAGTAGGTACGTTATAAGATTCGCTAGCGGAATTCTCTACGTAAGTATTGGCATATCCCGCGTAAATATTGGAATATTCATTTCCATGATCGTTCGCGGAATATCCGTTATAACCGTTCCCTACATCACCTCCCCCTGTAGCATCCTGATTGCCGACATTAATTAAGTGGCTGCTGACTGATGGGTTTTGACTGATATCTCCAGCACTATAATAGTTGTTTCCACCGTTTTGAATTCCACCGTAGTTATCTTTGGATCCTAAGTATCCATTATTAATAACGGTGTTACCATAATCGTTGCTGTACCCATTGCTGTCGCTAATAAGAGAATAGCCTACAACGAAATAATATTTTAATTGAAGTGCAAATTTATTTTTTTACTCCAGATTTTGATATATTGCTATTTAATATTTAGAATCAAGATTAAAGATCGTAATCATGATTAATCTTAGTTGTATGTAAGATTTTTGTAAAAATATGGAAAGCAACATGTACAAGAATTCATACGTACCGTTAAGAGGCGGTTCCGCATTCGCAACTATCACACAACAGATTATCACGGTGCTCTAAAAAAAAATAATTACTTTTTTTGACAGAAAATAATTGATGTATTATCTAAAATTAAGATCGATGTATTATCTATAATTAAGAAAATATTATGTCAATAACTAAAACTAAAATAAAAATTTCAGGAGCAAAGTAACACGATCTTCTGTTAAAAATGAGATAAGGAAATAAAATTTTCTTTAAGATGCCTTCTCTAAACAATGACATATTATGTTGCAATATTTATTAAATATTATAATTAAAAAGAAAATGTTTTCTATTTTTTCAATTTTATACATTCTTAAACATCAATGAACAATACAGAGCGCTATGAATGATATGTATTTAACGAAATGTGTTTTAATTTAAAAAGTCATTTAAATCTTCTAGATAAATTTCTAAATAAGATCCTAAATTGTTTGTTTATTTTAAATCGTAAAACAAGAATGAAGAATAATATATATTAAAGATATACTAAATTACTCTGCTTTCCGAAATATTTAAGTGTCCTCAACACCACTTGCAGCTGATGCAGATGAACTGATGTTTACTTACTAGTAACATATTGACTCCTGTTAAGAACTCAATATTGGATAAGAATTAGACACCTTTGTGGTGTCTACTAAAATGGGACTACGCACATATTGACTGGAAAAAGCGCCGTTTTCCGTTTTATACCCCTAGCAACCCACTCCCTCGCCTTACGAAAAGGTAAAAGCGATCTCGGTGCGCACATACTGATGTGACATTGGCCGGGACTCGACCATACAGAGCGGAGAGAAACGAGTCAACCTGATTTAGCTCTTCACTTTTACAGGGAAAGCAATGGGTCACCTCTCTGTGCAACTGCATGGTGTAGCCACGAGGCGCAGTATTTTGACCTACCTAACGCACTCCATGAAATAAATCTAGGAAGGACTGTCCTCGCCCCTTTACTTTATTACAATAATCAGCCATATTATAGTGTTCTTTACTATGATTACGCGACATAGTAACGAATAAGCTGTTCTCATAACGACTTTGCAGATATCTCCTTGGCTAAAGCTTATGGTACAGCGTTAAAATACGTACGCAATTTAATCCGTAATTCATATTATTAGCAATACTGCTATATTTATTTACAAATTAACCATTAAGTTAATTCTCAGCGAATATATACTACTATATACTATTTTCTCGATACAGCACGGAAAACATTAATGTTATTAATCTGCAGAATCTGCACAAAACATAAAACAGCATAATTCAAATTATTTCCATGCGAATCTTTCAATTTTAATTATTTTTTAAGATTATATCATATGTATATGATTCCCCATTTTATTTGATATTAATTAATATCAATGAAATTTATGACATCTGTTAAAAAAAATAATAGATCAAGATATAAAACGCTTAATAATTAGATTCTCAAAAATTAAAAAAAATTTTTTAAATTTAAAAAAATTTAATTTCAATTATATTGCACGATTACTTAATTTAATTGAATATAAAAATTTTATGTATTGATATTAATAATAATTTATATGCTTAATTATAACTTATCATGTTGCAAGTTTAATTTAATTGTCTGAATGTTTGAAGTGTTTTATGAAAATTTTGAGTTGAATTAATTGAAATTCTGGCCAAAGAATATTTTAAATGTATTTTACATATGTACGTAAACTGAGTATCTTGCTGGAATAATAATGTTGCTATGTGGAAAAGAAAGTTTTTCGTCATTCCCTTAAATATAGCAAATCTAATGCAAGAACTTTATTTCTCATGGTTTGTAACTTTAGAAAAAAATAGCATTTCAGTTCATTAGTATTTAATCTTTTTTTTTTATTACGCACAATAATAACGTATTAATAATTAATAATGAATCATCTTGTATTTGCTATTTATCAAATTTTTCAAATTATATCGATAATACAATGATTTATCATGATTTAAATTTAAATTTATCATTGCACATTATCTAACAAGTAAGGGTTTACCATTTTGAAACAAATGAAATAAAATAAAAACTAACTGATGTAAGTAATGTCTTTAAAGCACGCTTAACAAATTACGATATAAAAGTATGCATTAGAAATAATCACGAATAATTTGCGTGTATGTCCTCGGTGTTTCAAGTTCGTGCAGCCAGCTTGAAAGTTCGCAAACGAAGCAGAAAAATTACAATCCCTTGCTCACGGAAGTGTTCGAATACGTACGTCTAAGTACACCTGTTCAGCGTTTATAGTTTTGCTCGTTGTCTTTTTTTTAATGCTTTCTACTTTCCGCGCACGCATACATGCGTTCGCATGTATTCATTCAAGCGCGTCACTCATCCTAAGTTAATCAGATGTATTTCAAATAAGTACTTGAACGGCAATGACCCAGGCAGTTGAATGTAAATGTCAATGTCTCTATCGTTTTGCATGCGTACTATACTCAACAATGCTTGGTATGCGTGAACAACGTTTGATATAAACGTCTCTTTATCTAAATTACAGAAAGAATTCTATATGCGTGTGTACATGTAATATATATCACGTTACATTTAATATATATCATTAATAATTACCGGTAGTTTAACGATAAAGTAAAAGATATATATTGTGTCAACTTAAATAAAAACAAGACAACATTTGCCGTATAAAATATTTTTTAATCAGAATTTTAATTAATTTAACTACCAATTTTTTAAAAGTAAAAAATAATTTAAATACATGCGATTAAAATAAAATATAAAAAACGATTTATAAGTTAAGCCAGAATTTAGAATAGAATTCTATTTGTAATTTTATACGAAACGTATGATTCAAAGAAGAATTGATGAATCATCAAACAGGTTAAAACCTACACATACTTAAAAATACACAACATATAAATTTATAAAGAGAATTCTATCTTAAAATCTTACTCTGAAAATGAGATTATCTAAAGTAGGACTTAAATAAAATTATTTAATTGAGAAAAACTTGCTTTAATTGATATAATTATCATTACGCTATTATTATTACTGTTGTTGTACATGTACTTGCATTTCTGAACGATTAAATATTGAATAATTTATTGTTTTTTAAATAATACTGCGTATCTGAGCGTGTCATAGAGTACGGAAAGTAAAATCGGAATGGAAAGTTGAACGTAATTAATTCCAAACATGAAACTCTCTTTGAGCTAATGCAAGTAAAATCTTGACCTTCGAGAAAAAGTAGCTAATGCGATTCTATTCCGAGGCAAACATTGTTATGTATTTAAAATCGTGGGATTCTTATTTTAAAGGATTGCACATACATCATGAAACGAGTGGAAATTACAAAAGTGAGAAAATTCACTAGAGTATTCACAAAATCTAAGAATCGATTGTCTATTTTGAAACGAGATGAGAATTACAAGAGTGAGAAAATTCATTAGAATATTAGAATATCTGCTTCTTTATACGATATCAAAAATTAGTAAATCTCTTTATTTTTGTAATTTTTATCTCGTTCCAAGATACACGATCGACCGCCTGTATCTCAAAATTTAATTTGGCGCCACGATATATCGCAAATTCAAAGGTATTTTACTCCAAGCGAGTTGCTCTGCATCGTGCATAATCTAATAACACATCTAGTTGTTAATAACTAAACGTTTTCTGAGCTTATTCCAATAAGCAGTATATCAACTCTATTTTTGCAGCAACAAAGAACAAAAAAATTAAAACCGGTGCCAACTTATCGCCGAGACATCGAGATGAAAGCATCGATATATCGACAGAATAGCGACGTCGTCGGCATCTCGAATCCCGAATTCCTATCCCGACTCCGACACGGCAGTGACACTAATGACAGCAGTGCGATGTCCGTCTGTCTGCGCCCGTGTGGGAGATGTGAACACCACGAGATCGTGGAAATCGATTCGTGACGCGAATATCGCGCGAAGATCACTCGGTCGCATCTTCCCGATTGGATCACGTTCGCTCGTTCGCTCGTTTTCTCGCTCGTTCGTTTATGTTTCACTTTTTGTCTTGCAATTTGCAAGCTGCAAGTATTCCCAATAAGGCGCCGACACAGCCGAAGCTGTTACACCTAATCAGTAAGTCACAGATATATAAGTTCTGTTCTCGTAGGGAGGGAGAGAGAAAGAGATAGAGACATAGAGAATCGGGCCAATTGATCTCAGGGATTACATATTGATGCACGTGCTCGAGTCTCGGTGTTGCATTATTTGCATAATTTCGGGCGCAACGACGCATGGCTCCGGCATGTCGCATCGACCCGGTCTCGCTTGAGACTTTGCAAAATACGAAAATTCTCACACAGAGACCATTATCTTTTATCACACAATTTATACTCGTCCCTTTTAAATAAAAACGACGTGCGATTATTTTTATGGAGTTAAAATAATCCTTCAGAAAAAGGAAAAGACGAGAACGATCACAAATTTTCCTCTACATTTTCATGACATATTAGTCACCGATGATGAATGAAATATTTATTCACGTGAAATTTTATGATTATTTATTTATTTGTTTTTAAGTGATAAATCGATTGAGATAATGAGAGATAACGGTTCGTCAGAGACGTGGAAGGCACGACACCATGGGAGCTGTATGTGACTAGTATGATTCATTTTGATATTAATTTCTGTATCCAAGAATTTTAGACGTCTCAAAAAATGAGTCCGAGTAAGTTTGATTATAAACTAAATATTAAACTAAATAAATATTAAGTGTTAAAATTATAAATATAAATTATATCTTATAGTCATTTAAAATTCAGCTTTTTCCAATAAAAAAAGTATCTTTTATACAATAGAAGTAGAAAAAGTGATCATTCTTCCAATTGATACCGATTGATAATTTTTTCTCAGTCAGAATTACTACCGCGGACAGTCTCGATTATCGTTACATACCCATCACAAAAAACAGCGTTAGTTTAGGCATTAAAGCTAGCCACGATGCAAGGATCGCCTTACGAACACATCTTGGTAGTGACTCTAATGTGTACGAGGTAATGTTATATGTTTATGCAATAATCTATTTTTGATACTATTTTTATATCAACGTCTATATCTTATGTATTGTTAATACACAATAAATTGTTATTTCAAAAAATAAAAAAATTTCTCATTAAATAATATTAATTTGATACTGTCCAGATTATTATTGGCGGATGGGGAAATACTATGTCGGCGATAAAAAGAAATAATACAGAACCAGATGTGGCAGAAACAGACACGAGAGACATATTAAATCCTGATGAAATATGTGATATTTTCATACAGTAAGAAAATTATATCTTTTAAGATAAATTTAGATACATAATAGTATATGTATTTTTAATTCAGCTCTGTTCTACAGATGGTCTTGCGATGGACTATTAAGTGTTAGCCGTGAGGATGATTTTGACATGCCGTTCATGTCTTATAAAGACAGAAGTCCGTTTGTTATAAATTATATAGGAGTTAGTACTGCTTGGGGTGCAACTGGAGAATGGATAATTGAAGGTACGTTAACTTGTCATGGTACACACATAAACAACTTCTTTTAGATTTTAAGATTGAGAATATTACATTAAAGCTTCTGTTTATTACTATCTTAGTTTATGATATTAGAAGCGAGAAAATACACAATAAAAATTTTCGCAAGATATTAAGATTAAAATGCAAATATACATATTTCAATAAAGCAACACTTACAATTGATAAACTTGTACAATATATTGAAAATTCTTTTATTAATTAGTAAATAATCATATATCCTTAAATGATTTATACATAACCAAAAACAAAATAAACTCAAAACAAAAATTGCTGATAGGCTTCAATGTTAAGAAACAATAGATAAAAAAAGGAGCATGGAAGTCAAAATACAACGACTTTATTAAATCGGTTATAATAAATTAAATAAAAATTAAACAATAATCAATATAAATAAAACAAACAATAAGATCGAAGCGTTTGTTTTGATTTATTTATTTTATTATAATCGATTTGATTAAGATTGTTGTATTTCAGTTTTCATATTCCTTCTTTTATCTATTGTTTTTTTACAACTATAAGAATCGTCAAATTAATAACATATAAAAATAAATATGATTTAAATCTTTCCCAAAAAGATGTAAAGACATTTGTCCGTTATATTTTTATTCTATTAATTATATATTATAAGTATCGTTTTATTGAAAAATATTTCTATTTAATATATTTTTTAAGAATTTTTACATGTTTCTTGCTTCCGATATCACAGTTGGAGAGAGTAGTGACGAGTGAATAAAAGCCTTAATATATCATACGAATTAACTAATTCAAATTGTGCATAAGGAGGCAACAAAAATATCCAATAAGTTTCTAAAAAAATTTATTCTAATAGAGTGTCAGTTCACATCGCCTGCCATCAGACAACAATTGATGGATACGTGCCACTTCTGGGTAGACTTTAACGAGGCATTTGGATTGCCTCGGAACGCGGTAATGGCCTCTGAGGACGGTTTATACATCGGTCGGGCACATCACCAGGGTACAGTGACACCGGGTGGTATTCGCGACAACGTCTGCACGCTGGCATGGGGTGGCAATGCCCATGAAAAGCGAGAATTCCAAGTACTATGCGGCAAGGATGTGAATTGGGTGAAGTCCTGGGAGGGTAGCGTGCCTCTGCACGCCTTGCCTGCTGGTGAAACTGAGGATGGTTATGCTCTATTTGTTGGCCGAGTGTTGCACGAAGGGATCTATCACATCGGCAAAATACAACCGAATCATCAGGTATGCTACATACCACTGAACGGCCAAGAAATGCCCTATCTGGAGTACGAGGCCTTGGTCATACATGACACCTATGGAGTCGAGTGTATCGGGAGATAAAGCAACAGTATTTACGCCTTAGAAATAGAGAGTGTATTTATTTTTCCACGAGACAAGATATTTTCCGCGTGCTACAGTTAAACGTGGTCTTCTTCATAAAATTTCAATTGGAGTTGTTCATATACGGATTAGTTTTTTATAATTCAAAATTTATAACATCATATTTTTTTATAAATAAAAAATATTGTGGATAATTATCATTAAAGCTCCCGTTCACTCGCTATTATTATCTCAGATTATAAGAAGCGAAAAAGTATATAATAAAAATTCTTGCAAGATATATTAAAATGAAAATATGTTTCAATAAAATAACTTATAATTTAGAATCGACTTATAAAAACAGAAAACAAATCTAAATTTTGTTAATTAATAAATAACCATGTAAATAAATTATGCATAAAAAGAAATAAGTTTATAACTACAACTATTAAATTAATAATATATAGAAATAAATAAGACTTAATATCTCCTCAAAAATAAAAAGATAATTTTTAGTATACTTTTTAAATCTATTCTATTTAGTGCAAAATTATTATTTTATTGAAAAATATTTCTACTTATAATATATTTTGCAAGAATTCTTATTGTCTTGCTTTTGTTGTCACAGTTTGAAATAGTAGTGAGTGAGTACGTATTATAAAAATTATTCTTCAGAATGAATCCGATTAGAATTTTTCAGTTATTTCTTAGATTTCTATTATCTTTTCTAGAAAAAAAAAAACAAAATAATTCAGATTGAAATCCAGTTCTGAACAGTTCTGTAATATATTTTCTGAAGCTTTAATACTAGATATTGATCTGTCTAGATATCAGATATACATAGATTTACATTTTGAAATTCTTTTTATCGATAAAAAGCCTCTAAAAGTGATTTATAAACCTTCTGATTAGCTATAAGCTACAGAGATATTTTTATCGATAAAAGAGTATTCAAAATGTGGACCATAAAATTTTTTAATATCTACATATGTACATACTTGATACAAAATTTTTTATATAAAAACATTTCTTTAAACTTAACTTTTTGCAAAGGAATCAATTAAAAATTATTTTTTTAATTATTTTTTATGTTTTCTTATTATTATTACTATATGTCTTACCAAACAGAAATTTTTACAGAAGAAAGAAATTAATATGAAAACATATGGATATATTTTGTATATGATTAGATATATCTATATCTATTATATCTATATTTATATATTTATATATTTATATATTTATGTTCTTGCATAAAAAACTTCTTACCGTAGCTACGAAGAAGAAACAAAATAACTTTCTTCCAGTTTTTCTTTTATGAATTATTTCTTTTAATTTAACTATTAATCACTATTAATCCTAAAAAAGTTTTAAAACATGTTTTGGCAACATGTTTTGGCATTTTTTAAAATTAGTATAAAGTATGTGGCTCCAATTGAAATAATAAAGATGGGTGATCGGTTCGGAAGTTAAAAGAAAAAATATGAGTCATGGACTTGGTCAGAATTGAAAGAAATTGTTGCCAAAAAATACATTCACTGGCATTAATGTCTTTTCTTTTTTACCAATTCCATTTTTTCCAACTATCTATATGCCATTGTATGATAAGTATTGTATGATAATATTGACCTCATAAGTTAATTGTAATTTGTATTTTATTACGATGAGCACAATTTAGACATATTTTTTTATGAATGCATCGCATGGAAAATTATTATAGCAAAAAGCCGGTCGGTTATTTCATTCTTGTATATAAACAGGCTAATTTAAACTTGATTATTTATATAGACACCAATTGTAAATAATTATTACCGATATTTTACGATTAAACTCTTATTACTTAGTTAAAAACTTAGCAAAAAGACCACAGATCAAAGTCTGTTATAGTTTATTTTATTATGTCCTATTGTCAGAGTATTTATTATAATAAATAATATTATTAAATTATCGTAGAATTTACTTTTTGCAGACATAAATAAAAGAAAAACATTTATCAGTTTCATATTCTAAAAATATTTTGTGAATCATGTTAGTTTATGTAGCTCTTTTAATCTGTATGAGAGAGAGAAAAGATAGTTATATTATGTTTGTTTAATTTAGTAACTACTCAGGGTTTTACAATTAATCCGCAAATAATGGCCAATTTAAAACGTAAAACAGAATCCTAATATTTTATCTACGATATTGTGATATGATAATAAACGAATCAACTTCAGAATGACACGAACCAAAAGAAGCATTCACATTGATTTAGAATATATATATTATACATAAATAGTAAAAAGTCCTCTTGCGCTGAATATTTTTTTTCTTTTTTGCTATATGCAAACACTCAGATATTACACGTATAAGATATATATGACGTATGAGCAAGCTGCACAAATCTATTTAGAAAAATTGTTATTAATTAAAAGTGCAACATCAATAAGAGCACAACTGTCCTTTCCTGTCTGTGTATAAAAATATAGTGTAGTTTGTAAAATAATAAATATAATTAATGGCATAATCAAAGCACGATGCAAATTTCTGTAAAGCATGTATCGCGACGTAATGATGTAATTGATAGAATAGCAAAATTTTTATGAAATTTATTACCATACGTAATAAATTTATAGAAATTCGATGTATAACTAATTTCTGTCTTTTATAATAAAAAAATTATGAGACAGAAATACGAATATATAATTGATAGCTTTAACCTTCCAATGCTTAAAAATGAGAAAGGCAAGACATTCTTCAACAAATAAAAATATAATAAAGTCTTTTCACATTAATTTTATAATTCTTTGTGATTGTATTTACTTAGTTACGTAATCAGAATATTTTTATGTAACATGGCACCGTTGTATATCGTAAAAATATTAAAAGTAGGAAAATATATTAAAATCGAAAGTATTAAGAACAAAAGTGTTTATGAAATAAATGAGAATATTAATTTTTTTCTAGATAGAAATATATTCTCAAGATACCAGACTCTATATGTATACAGCCAAGAATAGAATTTATTTACTTGAATTTGTACGACTCTGTATGTACACACACACACACACACACACACACACACACACACACACACACACACACACACACACACACACACACACACACACACACACACA